GGCCCCAAGGGGTCCCACAGAGCCCCCATACCCTTTGGAAGTGTGGTATCCGTCTGTTTTCGGGGCACGGCGCGTGTCCGGGTGTTTAGCGCTTGCCAGGGAGAGCATTTATATGCAAATGCCAAACGACCGGCGGTTGGGGCTAATTGCAGCAGGGGCCATTGTGCCCGTGCCAAGCCCAGAGAGAGCCGGGGAGTTTCCTACACAGAGGGGGTGGGCTTCCCCCGGCTTGTTTACTCATTGTCTTTCCTTATTACCCTCATTGACACTCCCCCTCTGTTTAGAGGTGGGAATTAGGGGGGGCTTGTTTGTAGGATGCTCTCCGCCCCGCGTTGAGCTGCCTCTTAATGGGCTTGATTAAAGAGGGAGAGTCCCAGGGTCCTCTCCAGTCCCTGCTGTTTCATCTCTCTTCTCATTTCTTCTCCTTCCCGCTCTCGCTCAGGTCACGGGCCCCTCTTAGCCGGCGCCCTCCTCCAAAGAATGCTCTGCTAATTACTCAGGGTGTTCAAAATGCATTTAGGTCAGCTTTTTTTTCCCTTCTTTTAATGGCATGCAAATTTATGAGCAGACAAAAGTAGGAAATATTAACTTGTGGAGCCATTGCTTGCCACTAGCTGGGGACAAAGATAGTACACTTCATTCTGGAGGATTCCAGAGGATTCCCACCAGCTCGCTGGGCCTCTGGGGGTCTGGCAGGTAGAAAGTAGAGGTGAACGGGGTCCCTCCAGTGCAGTCATGCCAGGTCTTTTAGAACCAGCCTGGCTGGGAAGTCAGAGGGGTAAAGTATATCCATTGATCGTGTGATCCAGTGTAGTTTACCCTTCAAGGTGATATAAATACCTTGAAACGTCTCTTCTTACATTTATTATTATTATTCTTCGCTTGTAGCTTATTAAAACAACCATAAATATTCGGTCAAAAGTGTTAATTCTGTACTGTCGATCGATGCTATTTTATTGTGATTCAGATTTTTGTTGTGTGCAGTCTTGTTTTTTATTTTTTAGGAGAAAAAGTTACATACGGTCTTGTTCTTTTTTACGTTTTTGTCATGTTTTTTGTCATTTTTTGACATGGAATTTTTTTTAAAAAGTCAGAAGTGCCAACTTGATACAGATTCTATCGATAACGTGGCACAATTTTCAGCTTGAAGCTCGTTTTTAACGTGGATTTGGCCGTTCTGGATGCCTTTGCTGGTCAGCTGCCCCGAGCCCAGCGCTCTGTGGAATAAGCGGCCTGCTTGATTGAGAAGTGTCTCTGGCAGAAATGACAGCAGTGCTGGAAGTAATTAGCATTGATAGAATTATGACAGAGGCAAACAACACTGAGAGAGAGAGAGAGCGAGAGAGAGCGAGAGAGATAAAGCAGCACCTCCATTTTGAGTGGGGAGGCTTTTGATATGGAGGAAATGGCTTGTGACAGCGGCTGAGACTAGCCAGATCCCCACAGTTTGGAGTTTAGGTTTGACCTCTATTAAGATAAAGCAGCTGGCTGGGGCTCGCTAGCTTTTACTCCATGTCCTCCACCCCCCCCCTCCGTCTTCCTCTCTGCACAGGTCATCCCTCAGCAGTTGTTTCTCCTGCAGTAAAACTAATTAGTTGTGGTGCCTCTTTAGTTATCATGGATAAGCAACCATTGTGCACATGTGAGTTTGTGTGCGTGTGTATTTATACTCCTGTGTGTTGCCGTGATTGAATGCCTGTGACTTTGTGCTGCTGCGTTCTTTTTGCCATCCATCAGCGCAGAGATAGACGTTTCCGAAACAATTCCACCGCATTCCAAGCTAATGATTTGGTCAGACTAAGACAAAGGCTAGGGTGAGCGAGAGAGATAGAGAAAATATGGGTGAGGGAGAGTCTTGTTATTCTTTCTTTGGACCAGTTCTTGACTTTTGCTGGTCTCAGGGGGCCACATGTGAATGCCTAGGGACAATCATGAGAAATATTTTGCTAAACGTAGGGGCGGGTGGGGCGTACTAATTAGGGTGGGAACAAAGTAAGGTGCGATAGTGCACTTGTCAGCAATCTCAGATGGACTGATGTCATCCCGTAGGTTTGTATGGCTGAAATGTCCCTCCGAAAAGCTCCAAACAAGCACGTAGATGTGTGATGTAGCTCATTTTGCCAGTTATCACTTGAGCTTGTGAAAAAGCACAGGCTAAAGGAATTTGGGGGCGCGCAGGTTTTAGAGTGTGCGGATTTCGCCACAATCCAGCAAAGTTTACAAGTTGTCCCCAGACATATGCTCTCGTTATGAGATCACGTCTGGCCCTGTGATACTAGACTTCCACCACAACATTACAGTACCGTTGTCCTAGCTAGCTTGTTTCGCTTGTGTTATCAGTTGCACTCTGGATGTTAAAAACACAGGCTAGAGGAGTTTGCGGGTGGGTTTTAGACGAGGTGTACCCTTGTTTCCTTGATTTCACTGCACTCTAGCCCCAAAAGTTTTAACAAGTTGCCCCCAGACATGTATTCTCGTTGCAAGGGCACATCTTGCCACCGAGACTAGACTTTAGCCAACACGTTACCCGTTTGCCAAGTTGAGTTCGTTCCCCATTACGCATGTCTAACGTTTAGTGGGGGAGTAAGATAGGAGCAGTCATGACTGGGGCAAAGCAGATGGATCAAAAAGGGGTGTGTGTGTGTGTGTGTGTGTGTGTGTGTGTGTAGGCACCTCGTAGAACACAGCTGCTCAGCACTGTCTCTCCAGCAGCCCTGGCTGACAGCACAGAGAAATACGAGGCCCCCCTTAGACCTCTGTCCTGGGAAAGGGGACAAGCCAGACACACAAGCTCACGCAGATGCCCGTAGATACAATAGACGTATGGTATGCTTGATTTCTCATTCTTCTTCCTATTTACAACAGCGCTCTCTATTTACTCCCTAATTCCATCTGCCTCCATTTTCCCGTCACACTCGTCTCTTACCTCTCTCTCTCTCTGTCTCTTTCTCCTTTTCTTTCACTCTCCCACTCCATCTCTCCTGGCCCGTTCCTTTCACACGTCTGTCTTTTAACTCTGTCTCAAGGTGCTTTTCTTCTGCTTTTCCTATCCCCTTTTCTCTCCCCCTACCTCTCTCGCCCTCTCTCTCTCTCTCTCTCTCTCTTTGGTGTGTGCAAACTCCGGTGGAGTTGAGAAAGGCATTCAGCGCCCTTAATCCCGACTCCCTCCATCAGGAATGCAAATGCGTGTGATTGTGTGACCCGCGGGGGCCTGGCAACATCTGCAGGAGGAGCCCCCCTAATATACACACTACACACCCACACACACACATACGCTCTCCTTCTGTCTTTTCGGGCGCTCGCTGGCCGCTGTGATTTCATTGTTTCACTTCGTGGCATGGTTAACCCTGTGCTGGGCCAGTTTTTCCCAGGACAGGCCACTACTCCACGCCTGTCCATCTGGGCCTGCAGACAGACATAACACCTCGAGAGTGCGTGTGTGTGTGCACTTGTTTTGGTACATTTTCAGGACAGAAATGCTCTGAGGATGTAGGAAAAGCAGAGAAAAATAGGGCTAACCTCTGTTAGGACCAATGCAACAATCCTGAGTTAGTGAAATGCTTTTGAACTAAAAGTACAAGTCAGTTTACAAAGGAAAAAGCATTTATTTTGGGTGCTGAGGTTAAGGTTGGGTTTAGAGTTAGGCTTAGAAAATTCTTATTGCAGATACTGTATATATACTAGTGTTCAAAAGTTTGGAATCACTTGCCATTTTAACAACCTGTGTCATTTTATATGCAGTTGTAACTTATGTAATATGAATTTAAATAAGAAACGATTTACCAGGATGCATTTTTAGATATTTTATGAAGTATTAAGTATTATTTAAGTATAAATAAAATGACAAATAAAACACTCATTATCTACATTAATTATGGTGTCAGCTTACTTGCTTTGAGATTTGGTCTCCACTTTTGAAATTTGATGAATTCTGGATACTAATTTTATTAGCAATTAATTCTCAATGCTATACATGTCATTTTTTCATTACAGACACATCCAACGTTTCTTAATTTTTATTTACGGCTTCCTAGTGTACAAATTATTTGAAACTTGTGAAGTGGCACAAGACTATCTATAACCAAAACTGGTTTTATGTTATTGAAAACAGTGATTCCAAACCTGTAAACAGTAGTGCAGTAGTAAAGTGTGTGTGTGTTTATTTATAAAAGAGGGAAAATTTTTTATAAAGGTCAGCATTCGTATGGCTACATAACACCTACATGACTGAAACTTTTATAAAGGCTTATTCCAATATGACATTCATGTCATAACGGCTGTTTTTGTCCATTTTGATGATGTTTCACCTCAGTGTTATGACAACTGTTGGAAAAAACCTTTATAAATCTATATATTTATGTCATTTGTTATGAAAGGTTTATGTAGGTGTTGTGCAGCCTTATTAACACTACTCTTAAATAAAGTATTACAAAAGAAACATTGTTAAAAATTCACTGTAATAAAAATGGTAAAGAACTGGCAGCAGGGCTGCGACGAGCTTACCATTAAAGTAACGGTGTCTTACTGTTGTAAAAATACGGTTTAATACTGTTTTTTATAAGTACAGGTTATAATTGTAATTTAGTATATTTACAGTATAATGACGCTAATGGTTAACAGTTCATTACCTTTTTTGACAGGTATAGCTACAAACTTTTTTTCTGTACAGATTGATTGCTTCTTAATCTTGCCAAAAAATTATCAAGCAGTATATTAACTACAGTAGAGACAGATAATTGACATGGCATTTTCAAAAATGTGACTTAAAACCAAGTACATCTTGCAAAATGTGTTGCTTTGTTGTAAATAAACTCTTTGTCAAATCAGAAAATGTCATTTTTAATTAACTTAGATGTTCCACATATAAAAATATATATTGTTAAAGCTTGGTCTATTTGGATGTCATGTCAACATAAACAAATGAACGTTGAAAATAATCTTTGTGCAACAGTCTACAGCTATAACTACTTTTAGTTTTCAAGCATCTTCTACTGGCTTTGTCAGGTCAACACAAAATTTGATCACAAATTTCCCTCTTCTAGTGTCTTTTATTATTAAAAGTAGACTAAAGTCCTATTCCTGGTAGACCACCATCGGAGTGATGGGAGAGTGATGTTATTTGGTTGCACTGGACACTTGGCCTCCTTCACTGAGTGAGAAATGTCAAAGTAAAAACACCTGGAAACAACTAAGGTTGAATGTGAGACATTTAGCTTGCTGTTTCTCCTTCAATAGACCAGAACCAAGCGCAGTGTCCAGCGCAACCATGTGACATCACACTGCAGTGGTGTCCCACTATTAGAGGCATTTTATCTACATGTTCTAGTTCAGCTGATTATGTTGCATGTCTTTGATATTAAAGCTTGAAGCTGTAGAATGTGGAAAATAGAGAAGTTAAGCCTGGTCAAGAAAGTTGCCTTCACTGGTGATGTGTCCCTCAAGACTGACCACCCAGCGTTTAGTACAGCTTGCTGTTTTCTCACCTGAAACAAAACAAATGAAGAGTTAACCACTGGCAGCATGGATAGTGCCATTTTGCTGAAATACAAAATTGTTGTTGACTTATGCAAGTTTTTTATAAACATACCAAGCAGTAGCAGCCAAGGAGTTGCTGGCAGGCTGACCATCCTCTCCACATCAGCTGCAGCCGCAGCAAACGACTAGAACATATGTCAATTTAATTGTTTAGGCAGAATACCAGCATTATGCACCATGTACACTTATATATATATCCCTCACTGAAGTATCAGTATCACCACTGAACATATTCCTGAATTTCCCCTTTTCAGAGCTGGCTATGGTGAATAGGCTAACTTAATATCAACCACAGTGCTGCAGATGCTTTTATGCACCAGCTGCCTAAAGTACATTAAAGTGGTATTTTGTGCAGAGAGAAGATTTAATGTTTCTCAGTCCAAACTCTGTGTACATAAGACATCTTTTTCTAATGTCAATTTCAATTTTTGTTAGCTAATTGCTCCCTCTCTCTCTCCAGATTCTCTGTAAAGCAGGTTTAGCCCACACAAAACAAATATAACAAATGTAAGTCTACTACAATTGATATATCAACTAATAAATAGATATTAAGGTAAAAGAAACTTACTTTGTCCAGTGTTGCACTGCAAAGCAAGCTTAAGGAAAAATGAAGATAATATCCTGTGAATGCTAAGATAATATCCAGTCTTGCCAGCATTTAATGGCTAGTTGCTGAATATGCTAAAAGGACAAAAAACACAGCCTCCTACAAGAAGATGATCCTGACAGTTGGAAATGTTTTAGACGAGTTTTGAATAAACCTCACAAGCAAAATGAAAAGCCGTACAGTAATATAAAACATGAGAATGGATGAAAATCACAAGGGATTGCCACGCAACTCCTGTAATGCATTAGTTTTATAGGAAATAGCTGTTTTGTAAGGATAACATGATAATACTGTAAAAATACAGCTGCAGTTTGTTTTACAGTAAAGATCCGTTTTTTTGTGCATAACAGAATAATACTGTTGAATTCTGGCTGTTAATTGTTAATTGTTACACTAATTAATACAGTGTACGTACGCTGTATCTCTTGACGTTGTATAAGAAGTGAGTGTGTACGTATATGTGTGTGCGCATGGCTGCAGAGGCCTGCTGTTGGTTCTCATGTGGCTAATTCCGATTTGAGGCCGTAATTGGACAATATATATCCTCAGTGTCCCGCTCTGAGATATGGCAGTGTGTGGACGGCGCCATCCGAGAAAAGGGGAGGGTTGGAAGTGGTGTTAGCCAATAAAAGCTGGTGATTAAATTTGCACCCGCCCCCCCATGCCAGGTATGGCAGTTGAAAGAACTGATTGTTTTGCTTGTCTCTGTTTTCCAAATGATGAATTAAATGTAAAGCTCAACTGACAAAGTGAATCTGCGTCAAAGCCACAGTGGCGCTGATTGAATTACAGTTTCCAAGCCCTCCGCTCTGGCCACATTCCTGCATACACACTCGCGCACACACACACACACATACACACACACAAACACACACACATACACAACACACACACACACACACATACAGCACCACCATGTTCTGCTCCTCTGTGTGCCTGTGTTCTATAGAGCTGGTACACAGGTCAAGTATACAATATGAAGTAGTGGCTGTGTGCTGTGTCCTTGAACTAATGGAGACAGTTAGATTTCTGCATTGTGAGTCATTCTCTCTCTACGCTTGAGCCCACATTAGAGAGAAATGATTGTGAGTATATTATTGATACTGATCTCTGCGTATTCTTTGCATTATAAATGGAAAAACCTGAAAGAAACAGGACTGAGATGAAGGAAAAAGCAAGGCTGCTTGTGTCGAAGAACAATAAAAATAACAACAATTAGCTTATCATGCCAAAATTCATTTGTATCAGTGTGTTTGTTCAGGGCAGTGTGCAGCTTTGCACTGATATCTGTTTCAGTGTGTGTGTGTGTCCTTTTCTACAGCCTGAGTGGGCTACACTGACCCCTAACACTTCTGGATGGGCATGGCTGCTGTGGATTTGTTACACAGTGTAGTGCATTCAAGATACATATTGCTGTTGTCGGGAGAAAACCTCATATCTCCCTTTTTGCCATTTTTCAGTTTTTTTGACATAATTTGAAAATAGCTGTTGTCCTTTACATTGTATGTAAATTTCATGAAGAATGGACCAAAATAAACGACCCAAAATGAGTTGGAAAAAAGTCTGGTTCCATTGACTTACATTAAAAGTAAAGTAGGTTTTTCCTTCTGCTGTAAAGTTATCATTTTGGAGATATGAGTGTTTTCTTCTGACAACAACGATATATGATATGTACAAGAACTTGTACGAGACATAAGCCGATAAAATTCAACTATACAGTCCTATGCAAAAGATTGAATATACCTGGTCGTGTTATATATTTTGTTGATTTTCTAAGTGAAAATAAGTCAACAATCCTCTACAGGGATCAAACTTAAAAATGGCTAAATTTACTTTGCAATTTCTATTTAATTTCTAAAAAATAAAATACTAAATGTGCTGTAACCTTAATATTTTAAGTTCAGCAAATAAACAGTAATTAATTATGTAATTAATGTATTAAAATGTACAGAGGTCTGTTCTATGTATTTTCACAAATCATCAAGTCATGCAGTTTGACCAGGGCTGTCCAAACCTTTGCATACAGCTGCACATGAACCAGACCGATTATGTTGTCCTTCAGTTCTGTGATCATTTAACCCGATTTCTCACTCATAGTTCATTGAATCGAGCGGATATGTTCTATCAGAAGCGCAAATTCAATCGATACCACATTTGTGTTTGTAAAAGAGAATATATTTCATTATGATTTGCGTTTGGTGAGGTTTTTGATGTTTCTTGACTCAGAAAATGAGCAGGAAAGTAAGCAGGAAAATGTCTGAAGTGCAGAATGTGAATTGAATGTAAACAGAATTGCTTAACGCTCTGTGTAATTGCATGTATAATTACATAATTACATTTGCATAGACTAGCAAAAGGTTAAAGTCAGCTTTTACTCGTTTTCTTAAGAGCCTATTGGCTGCTGAATGGCATCTGTTTTTGCAAATACCATGGCAGTGTGGGACAAAGATGAAAGATAAGCGAATGTTTGTTTTTTGTTTTGTTTTGCTTTTTGTTTTTTTTTTTAAACAGCCCATAACCTACTTTTTTCTTACATTTTACTGTTCCCTCCTGAGGTCCACTTGTAACATTTGGGTTGTTTTATACACCAAAAACAGGCATGATTTATTTTAACATGACAACCTCCCACCTATTTATGTGCATTAAAATTTAACAGGCTGTATATATACTGCCTTTAAGACTGATATACATAAATAAGCATTGTTCTGATTGGCTGCCCTCTGTTGTGACTCATTCAAAACACTCCAGGCTGAAACACCCCTATAATTTCAGTGTGAATGGGCGGAGCTAAACAGTTGTAGGCTGGCATAGGTGCACGTACACGTGTGTGTGTGTGTGTGTGTATATATATATAAATAAATAAATATATATCTATATATATATATATATATATATATATATATACGTATTTGTATATATTTGTATATATACATGTTTCTAAGGGCAAAAAAGAAGGATGATTTGCTTCTAATGCTGAATTTAATTTGTCTAGTTGTCACCCTGTCCAATTCACACAGATTTGTTGCAGTTTTGGAGGTATACTCCTGTATACGGCAAAACCAGTCTAATACAGGTTTCCCACAAACTTTGAGCGATTATTGTATCGCAGTATGATTTTCCACCTTCTGTTTTACCTTGACTTACTGGCCTAAAGTGTAATCTGATCAGACTGCGGGTGATTTAAGTTCACTGTATTTGGACTAAACTGTAGCAAGAAACAAGCCGAGACATCACAGCCGCAGCATCACTCGCCAGAATTTAAAAAAAGCTCTTTGCTTTAATAATCAGTTCGTTATTCAATCTGACTGTAGAAAAAACTTAGAAATGCATTAGCAAAGATGTACTTACCACAAGATCTCACCTTACAAATGACGCTGCATCATCACACTATTGTTCTGTCAGTTCATGGCAGGGCACCGCTTAGCTCTGCTCGCTCTCTCTCACAGCCTTGGGTTGTAGTTGTATGTGTATGTATCTGTGTGAGAGACAGTTTAGCTGCAGAACTGTCAAATAAAGTAAAAATACATTTCTCATTCTGTACGAATTAATTAGTGTGACCACCAGAGGAATATGTCACAGTAAAGAAAACCAAAACTGCTGCTGTTGATAATGATTTTAATATTAGATATATTCATAAGGGTCACTTGGAGGCTGTGAATATAAGGCTTACTGTCGTTGGAGGCTGACACCTATCACTGTGTTTGCTCAGTGCAGTATGCAGCTGTGCACTGATATCTGTTTGAGTGTGTGTGTGTGTGTGTGTGTGTGTGTGTGTCCTCACCGTGCTCCCTGCCACGCTTTTGAAACTCAGGCATTAGTTGTCCACGTGATAGCTGTGTGTGTGTGCATGTTTGTAATATATGAATCCTCTTGCATGCAAGGGACAGGCAACAGCAGGGGAGTGTGTGTTTGTGTGTATGTGTGTACATGTGTGTGTGTGTGTCCACGTATGGATCCCCCCCCCCGAAGTCACACGCACTCTTCCTTACACCGTTTATGTTGGAACACCGTCACTGGCCATTGTTAGCAAAAGCGCGATTAATCATTACATTTGTGCAAAGCAGGGGCGCTGTTGCCATGGGGACCCAAATGATCCGCACTGCTTTGCATATCAACAGAAAAGTTTACAATCGTGGCAGAGGGGGGGCGGAGACTTCAACTGAAACCGGCGGATCCGCCCCTAAATAGAATGCACTCTCTTGCACTCTCTCTCTGTCTCTGTATGTAGTGGACAAATAGTCCTCCAACAAAGCCTCCCCTGCTAATCAAGATTGCTCCTAATGACCGGGCCCTGGATAAAAGCTGTGCGAGCACAGAAAAAAAAGTAATTAATGTCTGTTAAGTGGCCCTGAACTCCCTAGAGACTTGCCTTCGTGTCGCTTTAGTGTGGGTTGATATTATTTTGGGCCTGGAAAATATCTTAGATTAGATGAACACATTTTTTTTTAAACCTCAGATCTTTTATTTGAAGAAACGCAGCACATCTGTTTGGTTATTACTCAGTCGCATTACATCACTTAATGCTGGACTGCTGTAGTAATCTGGGAAGACTGTGTGAGGGAGAGATAGGTGACCATAGCTGAGTAGAACTGGTGGTTTACGCAGTGTCTGAGGATTCAACTCATTGCTGTGTTGTCTGCCGAAGCCTCTGGAATGTTCTCTCTGATGGGCTTAGGCCTCGTGCCTTGACCTGCCTAAGGAGGCCCCTCTGACTCCTAACACATCTGGATGGGCATAGCTGCTGTGGATTTATTACACAGTCAGTGTGGAGCGGTCGAGATATGTATATGATTTGGACAAGATCCTACCTTAGCTTGCACGATTCAACTGTATATGAACCGGACGAGGATTGTGCTTCAGTTCTGTGATGATTTATGCCGTAGACGTCACCGTTATCAGTAGAGATAAAAAAAGCATGGTGTAATTAGATGTGAACTATTTCTCACTCATAGCTCATTGAAAAAAGCTGTCGAAGATTCTGAACTTTCAATTGATACCAAATCTGTGTTCGTATGTAGGAGAGAAGATATTTTATTATGATATGAATTGGATGATGTTATTGTTTGTACAGTCCTGTTTTACAGAAAGAAAAACAAGCATTGCAATGTTTTTGACATTTCTTTAGCAATGAAATGAGTGCGATAGTCACGCCTGTCAGTACAAACTGTAAATCGAGTATAAATGCATATTGTAGCTGTCCAAAAAAAGCATATATATCCAAAACATTTAAAGGCAAATTTTTTCTAAATTTCTCCTTAAATCCATCGTTGATGTGAAATGGTTCTGATTTCTTTACAGTGAGGTCAGCAGTGTAAATATGACCATTATATTAACTATCCAAACCACCAAAAAACCTAGATGTGTCTTCTGAGTTTTATATGTAATATGGATAATGGTAAAATAGTGGTAAATAAAAAAATTATGTTTTCTCTGGGGACTGTTTTGCCTTACAACCCCTTCCATGTACCTCTCTGTCATTAATTGATTTTTAAAAATTATGTTTTAGGCCAAAACTTTATCTCAAAACAATCATAAAACAGTGTTTCAGGCATCAGGCAGCGTTTAATGTAATAACTGTCTGTGTGGCAGCTTAAACTGTTCGGTTATCTGGTCCCACCACTGTGAACATTAACAATAGTTGTCTTAGCCAATTGATTATTGAGAAAATCAGTAGAATTCTTCTTTGATTTTTAATGTGCGGTAATGTAAAGTCATTTTGGAGCATTTCTGTTGGTCCTTTCATCATGAAATTTTCACACAATGTTCAAATGTCAAATCCGAAAGAAGCAGAGATGCCTGTTTTTTGGTTCGTTTGTTTTTTTTGGACAGTGATAACAGGCAGTTATGTAGATGCATTTGAATAGTATGACGAAAGTTTAAGCTCTGCTCTTCTAGCTGGTTTCCTCACAGCAGCCTATTGGCTGCCAAATGGGATCTGTGTTTGTAAATACCATTTCAGTATGGCGGTGAGAAACAAGGTTGGCTAAATATAGCAGCTCCGAGAAACATGAGCAGGACAGTAGAAAGCAGTCCCCATTAGAGCTCTCTCTCTCTCTCTCTCTCTCTCTTTCTCTCTCTCTCTCTCTCTCTCTCTCTCTCGGCCGAGTCACATCCGTGAGGAGACAGAGAAGGAGGAAGTGGTCCTTTTCTACTGATCTAGGAGCAGTTTACTGCCCCCAGATCTCAACTTTAACCATTATGAAAAGTGCATGAGTAAGCAGTTCAGCTGGACAGGCTAGTTAAGGGAGTGCGAGTGGGGTAGACTCAGATAAACTGCTCATTATCACTTGCTAGCGGCTAGGAAAGGTCTCTCTCTGTCTCTCGAACGCGCGCACACACACACACACACACCTCTGATGGCCCGGCTCACATGATTTGAATGTCAAGGCCAGATTTGGCCTATTCTCCGCAGTAGCAGGAGAGTCACCCATGTGACTGTATAGATTAGCTTTTAGCTGTTTTCTTTGGTTTCTTAACAGTTGTATAACAGCTTATTAGAGCAGTAGCTGGCAAATGTGGCCACAGTGTGTCGGTTCATCCTTTAGGTATGTATAGCAGTGAAGGGAGGTGGGGGGGGTAATCTCTGTCTCTACACACACGCAAACCAGGCTGAGAGGTGATTCATACACACAGTATGAGAGGAAGTTTTTCTGCTGTAATTACATGCAGTTCTGACACATGTTTATACTGGGCTCTGGCAGAGCTGAGCTCGCTCCGTGACAAAGTAGCACTTAAAATTCCTCCCAAAACATTTATCAGCGCATTATTTTTCTCTCCCCCCGTCTTTTTTTCCGGTCACTCACTGTCAGAAACGGTTGGTGAAAGATCGCACGGTGTGTGTGCCGTCCACGTCTGCTCGCCGTGTGACTCCGTAGCTGGGAGGATAAACGTCCTGCGCAGTCACCGCCTAATACAGCCCAGCTTGGGGGGAAAGTTTCCTTTCATTTATAATATCAGGTGCATGGAAAATGTGTGAAAAGGAAAAAAAGTAGAGGAATTAAAAAGAATCTGTTTACTTTGTCCTCAGTTTAATACCTTGAACTCCTCTAAATAGCTGGGTATAAATGTCAGGAGCGCTTGAGTGTGTTAGCTGGGTGCCAGGGTGCTAGCACAGTGGCTGTGGATGCAGGGAAAGCAGCAGAATCCCATTTGGATGCTAGCTGGCTGACAGTGAGCGCTGTGGTGATATTGAGGTCAGCTGTCCAAAATGATCTCATGTTAAGGAATGGGAGAGTCAGCAGGGTCGCCACAGAAACGCCATGACAACACTTTCTCCCGGCTGATAAGGACTTGCCCTCCTTCCTTTTCCTCTGCTTGGGAAAATGGTGCTGGAGGGGGTTGATCAGGATACTGGCCACTACATGAGCTACACAGGGTGGACAGAGAGGTAGCACCGCTAAGTTACATACATAGGTCTACCACCATGATATAACTGTCCTGTTCATGCATATCATTGCTGTCATAACAAAGCCTTTTTTCACACACACATACAGGTTTGTTTTTATACAGTGCCAGGACAGCTTAGTGTAGTGTACGTCAAATATGCGTTATATGTGTAATATATATTATGTGCATTATACAGTACTGTGCAGATGGTTTTGGCACCTAAGAGCAATTTATATAGTCAGCAAACATTTTAGGAAAATAACAATAACAAGTAACAATAATACAGTAAGTATGTTATTTATATATTATTAAGTGTTTATTTTACTGTTTCCAAACCTATCCTCAAGGAAGCCCGGTATTAGTTACAGTCATCATCCAAAAGCTGGTTTGGGTAACCAGTGCTTCATTATGTTACATCAGGTGTGCTGGTGATGAATTTAACCTGGGGCTGGGGACAACCAGGAGCAATCTGGAACCAAATTTTGTTCTTCAAATTATTATATGTGGTGTTTTTACAGGCAAAAACAATTTTATTGCCACGATAAATGGCTTTAAATAATGAGCTTTTGCATATATGTATTGATATATGTATTTACACCATTTAAAAACACCAGCATCTCATTTCATTGCGTGAGCATTTCATGAGGAATACGCCAATAGGGAGGGGCCTGAATTACCTGGAATAAAATTTTATCACATTTTGTCACAAAAGATTTTGTTACAACAGCAGTGAAGATTTAAATAGAAGATTTATATATAACTCTAGTGTTAAAACGTAACACGTTTCATTCTGTTCTACAACATAAATGTCCTGAATTCAGCCAATATCTTCTGACACTCTGCTTTACTACCACTATCTCTCTCACGTAGCCAGGCACACTAGGATTCATACACGCTCACACACCAAGCTGCAAGCCCCAAACTCCCAAACAAACATTAGAAAAGCTTAAAATAGCTGCTGGGCCGTTTCCTGGATGTCACGGTGGTGCTAGCCGGTGGCTGAACAATCCCTGCCTGTGTTTTTCAGCAGGCTTTGCCGCCACGCACGGGCGTCGGAACTGCGTTCAGGAATTCAGTGCAGGGCAGTGCAGTAGCCGGAGTCGATCCCTCCTGGAGAGTTCCGTTGGGAAAGCGAGCAAACGTAAACAGATAATGGTGCTTGTGCAGGACGGGGCAGGAAGTGGGAGGACTCAGGTCAGAGCAGGGGTTTAGAGTGTGGGTGGGGGTGTGTGTGCTTACATTTGAATGTCCTTAGGTTGGGTCTGAATCCGGTTACCTTTACACCAGGTCTGATAGCTATCTGTTAGCTCTGCAGAGGGTAAATTTGAA